TGTTGTTTGAGGTGTTTTGATGATTGGAACAAGTTTGAATAAGGTATTAGGATATGTTTGTGCATTTGGTTGAGGTCCCGAGGGCCTCGGGGTTATTTCGGATGGTTGACGGAGAGGCTGGAGACTTGTTGCAGCTGCTGAACTTTGCTGCTTCTGGTATTTCTGCACCTGTGGATTGGGGACCGCAGGTGCGGCGCCGCACGTGCGAGAGAGGAACCACAGAAACGGATTTTGAGAATTTTCCAGGGACAGCAGATGCGGTGTGGGACTGCACCTGCGGAGTCGCAGGTGCAGAAGACTGAGCGTAGAAGCAGCTTGGACGTTTAAGTGAAGGAATGCAGAAGCGGCGATTTGACCGCATATGCGGTACCGCAAAAGCAGTGGGATGGTCGCAAATGCGAAAATCCCTGGACAGAAGGTATATATTGCTTTCTTTGCGATTTTTTGCAAATAACTCCATTTTTGAAGACGGGAAAGAGGCTAAGGCATAGGATCTCAAGAGGAATCAAAGGATATCGGTTGGGTAAGTTCCCTAAGCTTAATTACTTGGGTTAAGATCATTTTTCCACTGTTTAATCATGATTTTAGTTGAGATTAAGGGCTAAAAATGGAGGATTAGGACTTGAGTTTAAGAGACCTTTAAAAGAGGATTTGAGGGGTCATTTGGACTCCAATTTTAGTGTTCTTGATATGCATAGACTCGTGGGGAGATGAGGAATCTATTGATGTAAAAATTTCTGAATTTAGAGACATGGGCCCAGGGGTCGGGTTTTGGTAATTTCGAGATTTTTGGTATTTTTCGATTGTTTTCGCTTGGGCTTCGTTCTCTTGGCATATTTTGACGTCCCCATTCTGATTTTGGATAGATTCGACGCGCGTAGAGGCTGATTCGAGGGGCAAAGGCATTGCAGAGTAGTATTTCACCGGTTTGAGGTAAGTAACCATTGTAAATCTGGAACTGAGGGTACAAAACCCCGGTATTTGATTTGTCTTGATAAACGCGGTGACGCACATGCTAGATGACGAGCGTGTGGGCGTGCACCGGTAGGGATTGTGACTTGATCCACCCCGTAGCGACTATTAAGCCGTATATTTGATTTGGAAACGTTATATTATTCCGTATTTTGGATATTTATACTGTATTATGGGTTGAATGCCATGTTTGGGGCCTTGTGCCGACCTGTAGAAACCCTTAGGGGCATTTTGACTATGTTTCCTCATTATTACTTGCTAAAAACATATCCTTAGTCATGTCTTACCTGTTTAAATATTTAAAACTGGCTTTATCTTTTCACTTCTAATTGTGAGGACTGTTTGGGCTGAGTTCCCTAATTTCTATTGTTGTGCCCGAGAGGCTGTGAGGTTAACGACTAAGAGAGGTTGAGAACCTAATAGTGAGGATATGATATGTATATATTATGGATCGGGCTGCACGCCGCAATGACACTTATATAGATCGGGCTGCGCGCCACAGCGATATATATACCGGATCGGGCTGCACGCCGCAACGATATGTATATTGGATCGGGCTACGCGCCGCAGCAATATGACGTTTGGGTTGTAGGAGCCCCTTCGGAGTCTGTAAACCCCCAGTGAGCATAGTCGACTATAAATTACGGATCGGGATGCACACCGCAGCGATTACTATGATTTCTATTATTATGAGATACTAAAGTGCCGAGTGCTGAAAATGAGTACTGTGTGACGAGAGTCGAGTCACGAATGACTGAGAGGCTGCCCGGGGGGTCATATTCTGAGTAATTTCTTGCCTGAGAGGCCTTGTTATGATGTTTTCACTGATTTCACTCTTCTTTAAAATAAGCCTCTGTTTGACATACCGCTAAGTATTTGATTCCAAATGTTTAAATTGGAAATGTGATTTTATAACGAAAACTGATTTTTAAACTGTAAAGATGACCTGATATTCTGTTGATTATCCAGTTATGTATTTTTGAACTGCTCATCACTGCTTTCAGTCCTTATTTACTCTAGTTACTTACTGAGTTGACGTACTCACGTTACTCCCTACACCTTGTGTGCAAATCCAAGTGCCCGAGCGACCGAGTGAGGGCTTTCAGCTGTTTCAGTATTTGACGGAGACTTCGAGGAAGCTGCATGGTGTCCGCAGCCCTGTTCTCTCCCTCTTATCTTATTATCTTTACGCATTTCCTAGACTATTGATGTATTATGTATCAGACTTGTATTAGAGGCTCTAGACTCGTGACACCAGATTGTTAGAGCTGTGTAGTTATTGTTATTTTGACCTTTCGCATATTTCTGTTGTTTTAACGCTTATAATGACTTCAGTATTTAAAACATGTGTTAGAAAATGGCTTAAATGTTGAAAAGGAGGTATGGTAAATTGATTAGTTGACTTGCCTAGTAATGTGATAGGTGCCATCACGATCGGTATTTGGGGTCGTGACATACATATCGTGAATACAGTCAATCTGTCTAGCTGTAATCCCCTGTTTCACGCCGAGAAATGCTATTGTATTCAATACAGTAGCTTAAATACATCGAATACACTCTAAAAAATCTGAAAACATAACTATAGGAAATAATATAGTAGCTACAACTAACTAATAACCATTAAAACATAATAGTTTTTGAAAGTTTTTCAAATTAAAATATGAGCTATAAAATTAAAAAATATGGAGCTCAGTTATTCTAAGTTTGAAATTTTTTCAAAATTATACTCCACTTGTGCTTCTAATAATTCCTTATACTCCATGTTTTTCTGGTACAATTCTCAACACTCCCATGTAATAGACGCTCCGACATATTCTTTAGTGGTCAAAGAAATAAGTTGGGTTTTAATTTCGGCGCGCTATTTGACGGAATACAACGAAAGCCAGCCACCACAAATCTCTTGGCTGAGAAATACAGAAGAAATTCCATTATTTACATAGGAGGGGAAAGACAGAGTGTGTGTGTGTGTGTGAGAGAGAGGAGATCGCCACGCTCTCCCTCGGTCTCTCCGTCGCATTTTCTATTTCTCCATTTTCTCTCTTCCGATTCATTCACAAATTCCATTTGTTAAAAAAGCTGTCCAAGTTAACTGGAAGAGAGAATTTGGGCGGCGGTGTTTCTTCAGCGATCTCTTCTCTAATAGAAATGTCGGCCATTTCGAATTTCACGGCGTGCCGGCGTTTCGAAAATGGAGCTGCATTAACAAAAGACTCACCTGGGCTTGGTTTGATTCATAAGAAAGTGAATATTTCTAGACCATTTCAGAAGGTAAATTTGTAGAAAATAGGAGCAATTTGTTCTTGTTTTTAGTTTCTTAATAATTAAAAAATGAGCAGCTTTGCATTTTCTGAGGAATGTGTGCTTCGCTTTGATCTTCTTTAGGTGTCTCTTGTTCATTCAAAAAGGATGTTTAAAGGTTCAAATATAAGAATGACATTGGTTGATGAGAGACTTTCCAGTGGGAAGGTTGTTGTGCCATCTGAAGTATTGGTACTGGATCTGCACTCTATATCTTATTATTATTGTGTACTTATTTTGGATAGTTTGAGTTGACTGTTCTTATACTTTTAGTAAAATGTTTGAGACCTTCCATCAAATTTGTGACCTTTTACACTGCACATTATTTTGCCCCTCCAGAAGGATTGTACACAATCATTTTTTAGTATAGCTCATCTTCCTTTTCTTTGTTTCCAAGCAAATTGTTAAGAAATGACATTCTCTTTTACTTTTCATTTATACTCTTGTTTCTTTAAGTATTTGTTTCTCAGAGGAAAGAGACAAATTATGTATTTGTTTTAACACTTTTACATGAAAGTTACTCATGAGAAAGTTCAACGGAACTTTAAAAGCTGGAGGAAGGTAAATTATCAGAAAAATAAAATAAAAAATTGAGGAAGGTGTATCTGTTTTCTTTCACGAACTACGTAGTATCAAAGTAATTGTTGTTCTCTACAAAGTGTAATTATTGAAGAGTGTGACTACCAAAGTTGTTTGACGTGCAACTGAAGCTACTAGTGATGAGTTGACTTTTATATGCAGGCATATGAGCTCGTCCAAGGAGCAAAAGTAAGTTTTATTTTGTGGTGAAAAGTAACTATTTTATGTTTGCTATATTTTTCTCTCTCTTAATCTTGCTTGCATTTGTATTTGTTTGTGAAGTATGCATGTGGGATGTATCAGTTCTATAAGTATTAATAAAAGAACATGCCAAATTGTTCAATGAATAGCATATATTTCCCCAAGGCATGACAATAGACCTGCCCAATTTTTAATCATCCTTCTCTTCTGGAGACTGGAGCATGGATATAACTTTATAAAGACATCCCTTTTTGCTGTATATCATCATAATTATTAAAAATTATGAATTCGGAAAAATATTTTCATAGTCTTAAGAAACTAAGATTCTTTTTCAGAACACTTGCTCAACTCTCTAGCTCAACATTTTCGTAAATTTGTGCAGTTCAGTTTTTTTCAGTTTACTTCACTTATTCTCTCATCAATATGCTAAATAAACTATTGACTGGTATTTTCTCAAGCACATTAAGATTTTCTTTGTTGATTTACACTTGAGATGCCATTGATAATGAAAACTTGGATGTATAGGTAAGATGGAGTTATATCATGGAGGGATCTTTGCCTGAACCACCAACTGCTGTTCTCTTGCATGGTATTCTTGGCAGCAGGAAAAACTGGGGTAACCATTTATATAAATTTTTGTTAATTACGGCACATCAAATGCTCATTTCTTGTGTATTCGCTGAATTACTCATGATACTTTCAAAGTGCCTATCCTTTCTTCTCCTTGTTTCTCATGGCATATATGAAAACTGCACGATCATCTTTCAGTCAAGCCTTCTTATGTAACTAGCAGGTGGCATTTTGCTTGAAATATGAATTGTTGAAACGCCAGAATGTCTAAATGAGATTGACATTATTTCCAAATTAGCAACGAGGCATGGAAACAAATTCATGCGCCATTTAATTCCTTAATTTTCGAAATGCACGGAGTAATTCTTTCCATACCCATTCCCTATCTCTTGATTAAAAAAAGAGAGACAAATTTTATGTTGGGGTTAGCTATATGAATCCTATAAATCCTTTTCAGTTACTCAAGCTCTTTAGTAAACGATTCATTGTAATTAAACTTATAATGACTAATTTTATGTTGGTCGTCAACCTACCATATACCTTTTTTATCCAGAATGACATGCTATGCTATGCGAAGCTCATATAGGCGGAGTCGTTCTAAAACAAGACAAGCTTAATTTCAAAATTCAATTTTTAAATACGGTACTTCGTACACATCAACTCTAGAATTTTTTTTATATTGTCGAGTAAGCTTTTCCATATTTACAAGACCATATAAGATGGTCACATGTCTAACACTTTTCTTTAATAAGCTCACAATGACTGAACTAGAGCTGCAAATGGACTGGGCTGGTAACACACTTCTATTTTTCTTTTTGTTCAAATGTGACTGGAGTGCTTGTATGCTGCTTGAGCTCTACTTGGTTTGAGCTCAAAACTTGTTTCTCATTTTGAGTTTGAATCAAAGCTCGAGTTTGCTAATGCTTGTCTCGTCGTGCTTGCAAGTACAAGCTGGATATAGTTATGTTGTATCATTTTTAGTTTTATATTCAATCCTTTGTTGGAGTATTGCATAACCCTCGAAATCTTCAGTTTTCCTCCTTTCTTGTTAGGTCCAACCCATTGATATAGGGGTTATACAGCTTTATCTGGTGCTTAGCATGAGCCTTCGCCTTTCCCCGCACTCGACAGACTGGTCTCCTTTTTAATTGTCTTCTTTAGGAAAAACCTTTTTGTGTAGCTTCCTTTGGAGAATTATCCGCCCCAGATACTGGCCCTTTTCTTCTCTCCTGCATCCCCGCCTTCATTTCTCTATATGAGCTTCCACCCAGGGCAACCTCTCTATCTAAGTTTTGCCTCGCAATATATCAACTTGAAGCATATTTTGGATTGCCAAGAAAACAACTATTAAGTCTTTGATCAAGTATGTATATTTAATGCGGATATGAGTAAGATAAAGTTATCTAGGATAATTGACCTTTAAGTAGATTAATTATTTATGTACATTTTTTTGGCTGTTAAGCTATTAGGTTGGCCTCCTTTTTCTCTTCAATTTCCAGAAGTGGAGGGTGATTTTTTTCCCGATAGGTCTGATGTTTTCCAAGCCTAAGAGCTGATCTTGAGCCTTGTGGAATTCCTCTCAAAGTAGCTCGAGCTCTCTGATTCAGACTTGCACAATTTTGAACCGACATCAAGCTCCTTTTTGAAGTTACCAAGTCAAGTTGGGACTGTCCAGATTTGGGCTTGTGTGTACCCCGCATGCTCCCTGTGAACTCTCCTTTCACCTTCAAGGACAGTGGTTTACTCAAAAAAAAAAAAAAAAAATTCTTT